CGATATTTTGTGTAATCGTAAAAAAATTTAGACTTAAAAAAGTTCATTTAAACTCTTAAAACTAAAAGAAATATTAAAAAAGAACTAAACATTAATTACAAAAAATATTTTAAAATACATATTTATGAGAAGTCGAGATAAATCGTAGTACTACGACTTCCGCCTTTAATGTGTTAACTATGTATGGCTTTTCCTATCGCAGATAGCACGTATGATAAATATAAAAAACAATAAAAGTACCAAGAAGTTTGATTAATATTTCTTTGCATTATATAAGAATACGATAAATATATAATATATAATATTTTCGAATACGATAAATGATCATATTAAATAGACTAATGAGTACGCTTGTCTCGCAATAATACCTTCGCGATTTCATAATAATCAGATCGGTACTCAACGCCGCGTGAACTATGAATTCGTCTTCCCATATCAAAGTCGCAGAAAGAAAAACGCGATGACATTTATTGAAACGACGCGACGGCGGACGCTATAAGATACGGTTGATTTTTTCGGCCAGTATCGCGGCCTTCTTTGCACGCTGATTACGCATCTATAGCGGAGCATTCATGCCACCCGCACCATTGTTGAACCGGTGAATAGCCTGCGAAAGCGTCTTTCCGACTGGGAGTCGGCTTTCGTCCCGCCGTAAATCCAGCACCCAGTGAAATATTTCTGTTATAATTGGCCCCGAACTTTTTTCATATATGGGCCGGCGACTTGCGCCCACGACCAGGGGAAATTATTCCCTGCGGACGAGCACGTTATGCAACTCGGTCGGCCGAGACAGAAGGGGGACGTGTGCTTCCTTCCCGCAAACGGCAACGCTGTTACGAACACCCNTCATTACTTACTTCAATAAAAAAAATACGTATCAAAACTACGGTTGCCACGTTTGTCATAAAATCACTGCATCTTCCCAACAAGGTTTAACAACATAATAAACAAGTTTTTCGTGTACATCGATATATCTAATAACCTTCTCCTAGTATTAACACATTAAAGGCGGGGGATTTTGACGAAAGTATGCTAGGTAACGCGCCTCGCTTTTCGTCCTAGAACGGGCGATATTTTGTGTAATCGTAAAAAAATTTAGACTTAAAAAAGTTCATTTAAACTCTTAAAACTAAAAGAAATATTAAAAAAGAACTAAACATTAATTACAAAAAATATTTTAAAATACATATTTATGAGAAGTCGAGATAAATCGTAGTACTACGACTTCCGCCTTTAATGTGTTAACTATGTATGGCTTTTCCTATCGCAGATAGCACGTATGATAAATATAAAAAACAATAAAAGTACCAAGAAGTTTGATTAATATTTCTTTGCATTATATAAGAATACGATAAATATATAATATATAATATTTTCGAATACGATAAATGATCATATTAAATAGACTAATGAGTACGCTTGTCTCGCAATAATACCTTCGCGATTTCATAATAATCAGATCGGTACTCAACGCCGCGTGAACTATGAATTCGTCTTCCCATATCAAAGTCGCAGAAAGAAAAACGCGATGACATTTATTGAAACGACGCGACGGCGGACGCTATAAGATACGGTTGATTTTTTCGGCCAGTATCGCGGCCTTCTTTGCACGCTGATTACGCATCTATAGCGGAGCATTCATGCCACCCGCACCATTGTTGAACCGGTGAATAGCCTGCGAAAGCGTCTTTCCGACTGGGAGTCGGCTTTCGTCCCGCCGTAAATCCAGCACCCAGTGAAATATTTCTGTTATAATTGGCCCCGAACTTTTTTCATATATGGGCCGGCGACTTGCGCCCACGACCAGGGGAAATTATTCCCTGCGGACGAGCACGTTATGCAACTCGGTCGGCCGAGACAGAAGGGGGACGTGTGCTTCCTTCCCGCAAACGGCAACGCTGTTACGAACACCCAACCGCGTACAAAGACCATTACATTAGAATACGTGGTATCGCGGGGAATTCTCCGCTAACATGCATATATTGAACCCATACACGGGCCGCAACGAGATTTCAAATCCCTCTTTAGAATACCGCATAATTTAATGACTGCGTGTACAGTGATCTAGGAGTCGGATCATTTATCAATCGCTTTCCGTGACATTAGGGGCAAGAGTGCTAAGGCGAACTCTCGCAGAACGTATTCCAGCAAATGAACTAACCGTCTACCATTGTAAATATGTTGCAGATTTTATGCATTAATCGACTGCGGTTCTACGATTAAAGCCAGACTCGATATTGACTTTGTGCTAGTAATTACCTATTTTACTGATTCACATTAGATTCGGGAATAATACTACTATTGCATTGTATATGAGAATGATCGCAATGTTTCTCAGTTGTACTAAATAGATTGAAAATTTATACAGGGTATCCAATAATTATGTTAACACCCGGAAAGGATTAATTGCTGAGGTCATTTGAAGTAACTTTTCCCTTTGCGAAAATGCAATCCGCGGCTTCGTTTACGAGTTATTAACGAAAAACACTGACCAATGAGAGGCGAGCTCGCCTGACGCGAGGCGAGCTCGCCTGATGACGAGCCAACGAGCACACGAAGTCTAGTTCCGCCCATTGGCTTGATCGCTTCGCGTCAGTTGATCTCCCCTTTCATTGGTCAGTGTTTTTCGTTAATAACTCGTAAACGAAGCCGCGGATTGCATTTTCGCTAAGGAAGAAGTTACTTCGAAAGATCTCATGAATCGGCCCTTTCCGGGTGTTAACATAATTTTGGGACACCCTGTATATGAGAGAATGATTGAATCATACTGGATGGCTCATCCGATATTGACATTTTGGTAGTAAAAATATCTGTAGTGATTTTTTAAGAGTTTCGAAGGAGGCGCATTATAAATGGTATTATTAGTATGTTTGTTGGTGAACGAAAAAAGGTCATGCGAAGGTAAACTCTGTTTTTCAAATAGAAGAAAAACTATTAACCTCTGTACGTCAAAATGTGCGTCATATCGTTACTAATGATAGGGGCAAAATTGGTTTTGCATCATGAAAGCATTAATATAATCACGATGATGTTTGTTTTCTTACAAGCTACGGAATGAAAAAATTTAACAGCAATATGAAAGGAAGGGTGTAATCAAAAGTATTGTTTGCACGCCTTTGCACGCAATCAAAGTGTACGAAAACGGTATTTTTAATCAAAACTTTTGTGCGCTGAATTTTTTCAATTTTATAAATAGTAGATATAGATAACGAACAATCTGACAATTATTCGACATTGATAGTCTTTATAATTTCTCGGAGTTACGTATTATTGATCGATAAATATTTCCATGGCTTTTAGTGCGGAGTTTCGTGGTGTTTACGAAACACATTGAATATTTGGTGTACTGCGTGCCCGTCTATTTACGAAGCACGGTGGAATTTTAATTTAGGAAAACCATTTATTTTCACCAGCCACCGCAATTGTACCGAAAAAAGGCGGTGAGCGTAGGTAACCTGATATTGAAATGAAACGTATAGCTTTTCGCTACCGGCTAAATGCGCAAGGCTATCGTAATCGCAGTTCAAAGGATCAAGATTCAGAAGAACAAAAACTTGTCACACGAGAGTTTAAGGTTCGTTGTAAAATGTAATGATTTTGTTCCACGACTACTCGTTCAAACCCCTACATATTAATTCTTTTAATTGTAGCTAATATTTTAGACGTTTATAATTCCGCGACAAAATGTGGTCAAGCCACGCATACAAAAGTTAACATTGCAATAAAACGATACAGTTGTATTTATTAAGCGATCGTTTTCAACATTGAAAGTGATTCAGTTTGAAAACTCAAATGAACATATTTCCAGAAAATGATTTAATTTAGTTAACAATCGTGACGGTTGATTTATAGTCTTCAAAATATTTTTCACATGAAATACATTGGAGGATAATGTATTCGCGATTTCACGAATGTAGTTCTGTAGTCAGTGATTGTTTCACGAGAGTGGAGCAGTGGCTAAAGTGATTTCTGATGGATCTCAGCGGTCGCGACTGCATTTAGCTTGATGTACGAGTGTCTCGTTAGAAATCTTACAATTCTGACGTTCGGTCGAATGGAACTTTTATCGCAACTTCGTAATTTACGAGTTTCCGGTCGCCAGAAAACCAGACGTTCTGTTTCCTGAGGCGATGCAATTCTTGAAGAGACTTCAAACGAACAATGAAGTCTTTTGTGTAAAGTAGAAAGTTGCCAGTCATCTGCGGAATTAATTGCGAAAATTTTATTCGGACATTTTGGAATCGAGCATCAAGAACTTTCGAAACTATAATGGTATTATAGAACGATCTATGGTTATATACACTTTGTGACTTTTATTCTCACTCGTTAAACATCGTATTCCTCGTTGAAGCATTAATGCAACTACAACTAAATGTAATTTATTTAAGATATGAACGTATTAGGGGTTCGATTCTTACTTAAAGAATGTTTGTGTCTATATACACGTGGATCAATTTTCGTTTGAAAAGTATAGGGTATTAAATATTTTTGCGTTCATATAGTTTCACGTTTATCGAAGAACATTTTATAAAAATAATGACCGAATCACTTCGAATAAAGATCTCTTGAATAATACATCGAAGAAGCGATTTAAAGTTTCAATCAAAGAACAAGTCGGTTAACTGCATTAAACCCGAAAGAAATAACTCACATTTTCAGTTAAGTCTCTGCGTAATTTAAAGGTGTTGATGCGGTGCTAGGTACGAACCAGATAACAAGTATTCATGCTATGTACTTTGTTCAGCCGCTCGTAATGTCTCTCATAAACCTCTGACTTTTATGGTGTTTTTTCATGTACACCAACACTACCGCCGTGACTAAAAACCTGTCCAAGCACATGCGTACATGTTCCACAGGAATTATAAAATCCACGCGAACCAATCATTTAATACTAATAAACTTCCACTGCTCGCAAAAAAGGAAAACGAGTTCGATTAGTATAAATACTGCTACCGCAATTGTAGAGATATAACAGTAAGACTTAAGAACAAGTCATCGAATTAAAAATATAAAAATGTAAAATAAAAATATGGAAGAGACACGAATTTGATATCAGGTCTATCGAAAAGTTCGTAAACCATAATAAAAACATGACGGTATATCATTAATAAGTTCAGACAGGAATTTCATAATCATCCGAATTTAATAAATGCGATGATGCAGCTCAGAAAAACATTGGTCTCTGAATCGTACGTGGCGTTCTTCTTCTGGCCGTGATTAACTTAAAGGTAACTGAAATATGAAAATAGAGTGAAGCGGTAACTCATGCTGATTTTCGGCATTTGAATTTTAGATTTCGCCGGCATGTAGTCGCAATAAATAGAGATACATTTCAGGAAACGTTTATGAGGTAAATTACTCATCCGAGATACGAAGTATCGCGTTACGCATTTCCATTCCCGTAAACGACACGTATCGACTAAATATTTGCGTCCTCTACCACCGCGGATGTCAACGCTCCACTCGGGAGTTTCTGTCCAATATGTATTAATGCATTGACTTACACTAAACTGGATGTTGTTTTCCTTAGGGAGGAGGGGAGAAGAATGTTTCTTTATGGAAATAAGTGTACTGGGCCACATGCGCCGCTCGTATTTCCATTCGCGGAAACATCTATCGGAAACTCTGCTTCCAAAGGACAGCGAACTGTCAAACGAGAAAAATCCACACCGATGGATATTTGCGTAAGCCGACGCACAATAGAAAAACTTGCTTGTAACAAAATTAACAGATAAAATAGAGTTGCACTTCGTATAAATGGTGACTCAGCTAAGATTTTAGATGAACAAAGAAATCCATCGATCGTTTAAATAATTCTCTGCCATAAAAAGCAAATATCTTCGTTTAACAACATTTAACAAATAATTAATTCATAATTATCAATTAACAAATAATGTGAAAATATTTACATCGATTGCAATAATATATGTGGATATTTATACGAATGGATAGAAATGCCCAATTTTGTTTGTCAATGAACGTATTAAATGCAGTAGAATGCGCGGAAAATAAAAATATATCCATGGTAATTTTCTATTTACTTTTTTCGCTATGATGGTTTAGCTAAAGCAGGATATTTTTACAACAACATAATAAACAAGTAAAAATTGCAATAACATTTGTACATTCATAGTATTTTCGTAAATACTCCAAATTATTGATAGTATGTTACATTAGACGTGACTTTCTTCAATAGATCAAGACAAATTTTTCTTCTTATAAATAAACAGTAACAGCCGATGCATATAATATGGAAATAAATGTAACTGTTCCCAAATCGGAACATTTCAAATAAATAGATAAATAATCAAGATAAATAGAACAAAAGAAATCGAAAAATCTCATTCGATTGGTAATGTGAATTTTTATTCAAAATAGAAATTATCTGCATGAATCGCAAGAAACAGAAGCTAAATAGAAAATTCTGTCTTATTTCAATAATTTATTAAGTTACAAATAATATGGTGGCTTCTTTAAATTCTTTTACTATTTGTGCCATTTTAAATTAGAACCGCTCACTTTTGCCGTAAATACATAAAATCCGCAATCTACTAATCATTCTTGTACTTATGTCTGAATATTTCCGTATGATAATCTCTTCGAATGAAAAGCTTCTTTGCATATCCTCGATCTACGAACTTGGAATCTTTGTTCGATTGCTAGGTCCGTTTGCAAATACGTATACTGAATACTGTCTGATATCGAAGACCATCTCGCAGTTAGAAATACAGCATATATTATTCATAGAAAAATAACGAGCCGACTCGTTGCACACGGGACAAACGAGTGGACCCATTTCTCACATTCGTTTGAAAGTCATAAAACACGCAACCGAGCTTCCCACCTCCCCTCCCTCGCCGATTCAGCTCGAACACAAACAGCAAGTCCGCCGAGTGACTTCAAGTAGTTGAATTACATTTGTATTGAAAGACCTTCCTTCCGCGTTTATCCCTCTTCTCTTCTCTTTATTCTCGGGAAGTTTGCGATTCTACTTTCGTATCTGTTTGCCCGATCACAGAGAAAACGAATCCGTTGTTAGCCGGATAAAATGTTACGCGCCCGAGCAAGCGTGGACCCAGGCGGCTGCTGCAGTTTCCACGGGAAATCATCAAACAAACGCGAATGAATTATAGACACCTTGTTATCGATCGGTTAATAATTAACGTGGCCGCACGCACGGCACGGCCTGCAACAAGAATAATCGAATGAATTGATTCCGAGTGACGCGTTGAGACGAACCGTGTCCCTTTGCGAGAATCACTCGCCAAACCTGCGATCCGTTATTCTTTGACAAACAACGCGACGCCGAGCGTAAACGCACGTCGATGCGAAGCCCCGGACGTTGATGAGCAATTATGTTGTTGGAAATAATTAGGTGATCGCCGGTCCGAGCAATTTTATCATTCCATACATTCTGTCCCAACATGGGAAAAGATATTCTTCGATGGATTTTCAAGGTCGCGCGCTCTTTTCCACGATTGTTTGCTCTTTTTCAACATCTCAAGATTGTCCCAGTGTTACCAGCACGTCATGCTGTACGTTTATTTAACACGTTGACTGCCGCGTCACCCGTATTCGGGTGACAGCAAAAGTTCTCATCAGGCCACGTCACCCGTAATTCGGGTGACGCTGATTTGACTACTTACAAAGGATTTCCGAAAATATTTCGGCAAATATTCTACAGGAGGTAATGAAACTATTGAATTCTTATAAAAATGGTTTATTAAAAAAATTATTCGCAGTGTATAACATTAGAACATTCTCTGCAAAGTTGAGGTTGATCAGGACAGCTTGGACAAAAAGTTGTTTGTTTTTTCAGATATGCTCGTGCCTCTG